TTTAATGCCAGTATTCTTTCAAGCTCAATGTATCTTGCATCTGTCCTACAACAGCTCCAGAATACATAACGATACACTGGCCGGGATACTTCGCAGGTTTGAAAAAAAAAAAAATTTCATAAAGTTCGGGGAATCCACAGAACGCTCCCACAGTAAAAGCATAGCCAAAAAGTTCTTCTCATCGGTCACGGAAATCTCAGACACACAAAAACGCTTGAAAATGTTTTCCCTCAGCAAAGAGGCTGTTCAGAAACTTCACAATATGCTTTTACACAGTTGAACGAGAACTGCACAGCAACGCTTGAGGTGCTTCACTCGCAACTTGGAAACAGGAAAATTTCAAAGCAGTGCTTGAAACAGCTCGCTAATAACAAAGGCGACCAGCTTCATTGCACGGGACATGCAGCTTCATCGATGATGCTGGCTCCAGCAACACAAGCAGCCAGGTGCCGGGACAAAAGCTGGCTGTGACTTCTGCGATGCAATAACCCAGGCTGGAACACACCGGACGGGCCCGTGCGATCATGCGTTTTTGCACCGGGCTTGAGGTACTCAGATCATTAAGTGCATGAATGGCTTTGCTTTACACCTACCTTTTACGGCCACTAGCATAAATCACCATAAATTATGCAAAGTAAATGTACAATTTCCACTTAACAGTCGTTCTTTAAAAGTAACCTAGTTGTTCAGTGGGACATTTTTTCGCCAAGTGACCGTACTTAAAAACCACGCATACCTCAAGCTGAAACTTAAACAGTACTTGGACAGGGAACAATCTCCCAAAATCTCAGCTTTACAGCTTTTCTGGTTGCCAAGTTAGCGGTTTTCCCGCCCAAATCTTCACATGCCTGTACGTGGGTACTCCACGTGTCTGGAAAGCTGAATTTGAAATTTTTAAATTGCACTTTGACAGAGAACACCCCCCCGCCCCAAAATTTCAGTCTTCCAGCTCTTCTGGTTGCCGAATTAGTAATTATCCTGCTGAAACTTTCGTACCCCCTTACGTAAGTACCACGCATGGTTTGGGGCTGAATTTGGAGCATTTGAGTTATACTTGGATAGGGAACATTCTCACAAAATTTCAGCTTTCTAACTTTCCTGATATTCGAGATAGCAATTTTTCCCCTAAAACTTTTGCACGCCCTTACGTGAGCACCACGCATGGTTTGGGGCTGAATTTGAAACACTTGAGTCATACTTGGATAGGGAACATTCTCAAAAAATTTCAGCTTTCTAGCCTTCCTGGCACCCAAGTCAGCAATTTTCCCTCTAAAACTTTCATACGCTCTTTAGTGAGTACCACGTGTAACTGGGGGTTAAATTTGAAATATTTAGCCAGTACATGCTCAGGAAATACCCCTACAAAGTTTCAGCCCCTTAGCTCGTGTGGTTCCCGAGATCGCTTTCCCGCCAAAAAA